CTTATTCTACTGAGCTATCTCCCCGGCCCCCTGTAACTTGGTTTTGTATGTGCCCTTTACCCCGTGCATACACAGAAGATAAAGTCCAACTTCTTTCTTTTTTTTTTTTTTTTTTTGGTGGAACCTGGGGGTGTTGAACTTGGGCCCTTGTGCTTGCCAGGCAAGCACTTATTCTACTGAGCCATCTCCCCGGCCCCCTGAATGGAACATTTATAATGAGAATTTTACTTTGAACAGCTGTCATTACTGTCTAGGGATTCATGGTTTTACCCAAGCTACTATTGCTATCATCCTTGTTATGCTGTATACGTAAGAAGGAGACTTTTTAAAATGCATTCAGGACATGGCGTACAGGGCCTCACTACACAGATGGGACTTGTAGGAGTCTCCTGTTTTTAGCCTCTCAAGTGCTGGGATCAAGGTGTGCGCCACCACGCCCAGTCTCAGCGCACGCTGGGGGCGGCGCGGGTATGGCATGCCAGGGATTGAACCCCGGCAGCTGCTCTCTGCCTAAGCAGGCGCTTTATTCCGCTGGGCTATCTGGCTGGCCCCTGCAGGAGACATTTTATATCTAGGATTTCAGCAAATTATTCAAAAGCAAAAATCCTAATATTTAGAAAAGCAAATTATGAAGCAAAAATTGAAATAAATGAAATCTTAAAAGACTTGAGAAAATAATTTGTCACACTCTTTTAACTTTTAGATTTTGCCTTTATTTCAAGAAGCTGAAGATAAAAACAGACTTCTGCGAACTGTGGCAGGTGGAGGGTTAGAAACAATTAGTAATCTGAAAGCCAAGTGGGATAAATTTGAGTTAATGATGGAAAGTCACCAACTTATGATTAAAGACCAGGTATAAAACTTTTAATTATTTTACTAAAATGGGACTTGACTTACTCTCACATAAAGTTTTACTTACATTTATTTTCATTATATCTCAGAAGAATTTCATGTGGTTGAACTTGCCCTTCCCTTGCACTTTTATAGTCATATGCTTTATGTAATGATACATCACATGGTTTGTCTTTATTTTCTACATACCCAAAGAAGAAAATAGTCTCTTTAAAACATAGTTTATTTTCAGTATTATGAATTACTTTGTTTACAGTATCTGTCTGAAGGTGACTTCTGAAACTTACGTTCCTTTTTTATTTCTCCATTTAATAAGCTGTCAGCTTGACTATTCTAATGGGGAGTCCAACACTTAAAGCTCGTTTCTTTTTCAAGTTAGACTGCAAGCTGAAGCACTACCTCACCCGGTAACTTAGTCTGGGAGCAGACTTCCTCAGTTTAATTTCCCTGCATCTCTAGGGTGCCGTCCCAGATGGGTGCCCCCATTACAGTCCCATCTAATGGGAGGGAGAGGGGACGAGAAAGGGAGCAGCTGTCTTGTAAGATCCAGCATGGAGACGGGGCGCATCTGTTGCCACATTCCCTGCTCAGTGCAGCTGCTCTATGTCTCTGGGCTGTGTGGAAGACGAGGCAGTGCTTGCCCAGTGGAGCAGTATGTGCTCAGATAAACCGAGCAGTGGTTTAAAAAACTGCATCACTTTTGTTGATAGCTATCTTGGGTAATGTTAGTCACAAGAATGATTGGTTTAATGATAGTTGAGTATGAATTCATCTAATTTTATGTGGTTAAATCAATAATGAAGATGTAAACCTTTGAAAAGTTCATGCTTTTTTTTTCACCTTTAAATAGAAAACACTAGAAATGAAAATGTGAAAATTAAGTGAAACTTTACCCTGCATTAAATTACTTAATCTTTATTGGCTTATAGATTGAAGTGATGAAAGGAAATGTGAAATCCCGTCTTCAGATGTATTATCAAGAACTGGAAAAATTTAAAGCTCGTTGGGACCAACTGAAACCTGGTGATGATATTATTGAAACAAGCCAGCATAATTCTCTTGAAAAAAATGCAAAGTTAATAAAAGAGAAAAAAATTGAGTTTGATGATCTTGAAGTCATAAGGAAAAAGCTTGTGTATGTTTCTTTAAAATTGTTACTGTTCATTTTGAAAAATACATTTTATAATAAAC